CTTTGGGTGCCCGAGGGCGTTCTCGGTTGGGGGAAAGCGGCCGGCGTGCGAAATGGTAGCCGGGGGGCCGCTGCCGAGTTTGTGGGGTGACTCCGTGCCTCCCCGGCGCCGGTACGAAGCGCTGCAGAAAACGGGCGGTAGTGCCTGCAGTGGGTGCCGGAGAAAATGTGGCCCGGCGCAGCAGTGGATTGAGTTTCCTTTATTGTGGGCCCCTCATCTCTCCTCTGCTGCAGGAGGAAGGGAGAAGGCTTGTTTTTGGCCATAGGCTAAAGATAAGAGCCTGCGTGAAAGAGGAAGGCTAAGCCTCTGTCCTGCAGCGATAGGCAAATGACACGTGTCAAGTAAGAGCGATACTGTTCAGGGGAAGGAGTCTTCAAGTGATGGCATGAAATATTGGAAACAGTTATTCACAGAGTAGTATTAGCAGAAACTTTATTTCATGAGCAGGTACGCTTACGTATTCGGCCAACTTTTCTGATAGTTTTACTATTTTGATAAATTACTCAAATCTTTCCTGTTCCCAAACGTCAGTGGTTTGTTCCATCTACCTGTTCCATTGTGTATTCTTATAGGAAGCTTTGTGAGGCAAGGACTTAAATTTTGTGGAGTTTAGCAAAAAGAGATGTGATCTTTAAATGGTATCCTTGAGCGTTAACTGTGAAACAAATACCAATACTGAATTTTGGAAACAAATTTTTGTGCATACGATGGTACAGTTAAGTACAGGATGTATGTAGGACAAAAGTAAACTTTACCTCTTGTTTGCTTTCTTAAAATCCTAAGGTTTAAAGGACTATGTTAAGTCTTTTTACAGGAAAGAGAAATCTCCAGAAACTTCAAACAAGGGATGGAGTGTAGTAGCTAGTATGCTTAAATATTTGCTGTAAAAAAAACCTCTCCAAAAACGTTAGACCAGGGATAGAAGATGGTAGCTAGTATATTTAGACATTTCATTTTAAAAACAAACAAACATAGAGATAAAGGAGACTGGCAGGAGAAACCTTGTGGCATTTGTTGTAGTTAACTGGAACTGACTATTTCTTTAGCTATATGTATTAATAGTATCCCTGTTGGCTTTAAAGTTGTATTCAGAATATACGTATGATTCAGATGTGTATTTTTAACTGACTCATTGGACTAGGGTTTTGAATGCACTTTTATCTGTAGGGAGGGGAAGTATGGGTAAAGGAAGATGAATACATGTTGTTATAGATATGGATATCTTAAACATACAGTGTGAAATCTATAAACTTTGTACATTGATAAACCCTAGTGTGAGTTGCTTTTTCTCAGCAAGTTTTCTCAAGTTCTTTATTGTGCCCCCATGCGTTTTGTAAGTAAATGAAACTGAATGAAATATAAGAAAAATCAAATTGAGGAGGAAAACGTTAACTATTTGTGTTAAGCCCATCTGGTTATATAGATGTTGTAATAGAGGTTTATCTTCAGTTTTTCCAATGTTTTTCAGTATATCCTCATTTTTATTTCAGTGATAGGAAGTTTAATAAATCTTATGCTACAGCATTCACATTAAGTCCTTCTGAGATTCATTAAGAGTCTCACTGCAGAGAACACTGAGTTACGGGTAAACAGAATTCTCCAGGTGTCTGAGTTCTCAACAGCCTTCTCCTAAATATTCCTATTATGCCATTATCGGTAGCTGGAGGCAAAGCAGATCATTTGGAGTTTCAGTTCTGCCCTTTAGGGGTGGGTAAAGGATTACAGTTCATGTTTTTTTGTCCCTTCCCAATGGGCTGAGTGGTATCGCTTGTATAGCTCACTGTCTCGTGCTGTTTCAAAGATTAAACTGGGATGTGAACCAATGTCTGCTAAAGATGAATGCACAACCATATTTTTCCTTTGCATTCCAGCATAAAAGAGCAAGAAGAAATGTAATGTTGTTTGCTTTAGGCCAATCTGGGGAATGACTAATCATCTAAAGGAGTGGATAGGAAAAGGATTTTGGTTCTTGTCTACGAGCTTATGTGATGCCATGGTAGATATAGTAGTAGGAGATATCTATAACATTAACAGCCTCTGTTTTAAGAATGAAAAAATAGGTATTAGGTTGTTTATAAGTCTTCAGTTTGTGTTTTTATGTATATACATATTTGTATAGGCTAACAGGAGCTCAGATTGCTGTTTTTAAAGTATATTGCATGGATTTTTTCATTAGCTTTTTTAAAGAGTAATAGTATGTTTTCATGGATACAAAATACTAGTAGTTTCACTGCTGCACTTAGAATATCTTTTACTAGTCTCATGAAAATTTTTCTTTTGGACATTGCATAGTGTTCAGCTGCATCTCTAAAGTACAGGTAATCAGGGCCTTGTTATTTTCTCTTGCTCATAACTTTGGCATACAGTTCTTTTTCAATTGGAACAGATGTATTAAAGCAGTTTCTAATAACGTAGTGTTGGGATTTCTTTTTATATTAAGATTTTTGCCCAAGCTTTACAGGCATTTAGTAAATTTGTTCTTACGTCCCTACCACTGCCTAACGCTTTTCCAACTGTTTCTGTAATTGTGTCACCAATAATTCCTTATTGTGGGGGCAATGAGAATCCCTGTTCACTAGATCTGGGGTTCAGTGTGAACTGGTCCATGTTCCTTTTCCTTCCAATCCTCAATTCCTTTTCTCTCTTCATCTGAAAGATAAGTAATTCAATTTAGTCTTAGAATCATAGAATAGTTTGGGTTGGAAGGGACCTTTAAAGGTCATCTAGTCCAACCCTCCTGCAATAAGCAGGGACATCTTCAACTAGATCAGGTTGCTCAGAGCACTGTCCACATCACCAGCCTGTTTTAAGAATGAAAAAATAGGTATTAGGTTGTTTATAAGTCTTCAGTTTGTGTTTTTATGTATATACATATTTGTATAGGCTAACAGGAGCTCAGATTGCTGTTTTTAAAGTATATTGCATGGATTTTTTCATTAGCTTTTTTAAAGAGTAATAGTATGTTTTCATGGATACAAAATACTAGTAGTTTCACTGCTGCACTTAGAATATCTTTTACTAGTCTCATGAAAATTTTTCTTTTGGACATTGCATAGTGTTCAGCTGCATCTCTAAAGTACAGGTAATCAGGGCCTTGTTATTTTCTCTTGCTCATAACTTTGGCATACAGTTCTTTTTCAATTGGAACAGATGTATTAAAGCAGTTTCTAATAACGTAGTGTTGGGATTTCTTTTTATATTAAGATTTTTGCCCAAGCTTTACAGGCATTTAGTAAATTTGTTCTTACGTCCCTACCACTGCCTAACGCTTTCCCAACTGTTTCTGTAATTGTGTCACCAATAATTCCTTATTGTGGGGGCAATGAGAATCCCTGTTCACTAGATCTGGGGTTCAGTGTGAACTGGTCCATGTTCCTTTTCCTTCCAATCCTCAATTCCTTTTCTCTCTTCATCTGAAAGATAAGTAATTCAATTTAGTCTTAGAATCATAGAATAGTTTGGGTTGGAAGGGACCTTTAAAGGTCATCTAGTCCAACCCTCCTGCAATAAGCAGGGACATCTTCAACTAGA